TCAGGCAATCCACTCACCTCGGCCTCCCAAAGTGCTGGGATTACAGGCTGAGCTACCGAGTCTGACCAGCATTCTCTATTTTAAATTGACCCATGTCCTTCTCTCTATATTACTGGTAAGTCCAGAAACTTGGAGGCATAGAATATCATTGCCCACATATCATTCCAATTGCTGCCATAAGTTTGTGACTCACTAGTACTGAGCTAAGAAGTAACAAATTTAAGGTCATGTGTGGAGGCTAAAACCTGTAATTCCAGCATTTGGAGAGGCCATGGTGAGAGGATTGCCCGAGTCCATGGGTTTGAGAACAGTCTGGGCAACTTGACCAGACCACATCTCTACAACAAATCAAAAATTTATCCATGCATGGTAGCACGTACCGGTAGTTCTGGTACTTGGAAGGCCAAGGAGAAGAATCACCTGAGCCTAGCAGGTCAGTGCTGCAATGGCCATTAACACGCCACTGCACTCCATCCTGGGCAACAGTGAGACTCCAACTCAAACAAAAAAAACAAAACAAGAACTCACAAATGTAAAATTCTGTCTATATGTTCTAAAGGTTTTATTGGGGAACAGTATTTTGGATAATTTTCTAGAATCTTGTATAATGTGTTTTCTACTGATCATAATACTAGTTTTATAATTGAAGAATCCCATCAAGATTCATGTTACAATTTTCTAACTAAACAGGACTTGCTGCCTCTAAGCCAGACCTGATCACCTGTCTGGAGCAAAGGAAAGAGCCCTGGGAAATGAAGAGACAGCACATCAGCCAAACCTCCAGGTAAGTGGGAGTAAAAGAAGCAGGTGATGCCGTTTAGGAAGCAGAGCTTGAAATGTGGTTTGCAAAGGTGGTCTGATCCGATGGAAATGGTTTCTGAGAAGCCTGCGATTCTTTCTCTTGCTATCACAAAGGGATATCTCTTAATCCATCTTGTGAAATTCTCCAAAAACTCTGCTTCTTCAGTGATCTCCTTTCAAGGTACAGAGGAAATCTAAGTCCACTTAATGGTTTGTTAGGGACTGCATGAGTTGACTTCCTTTCTGATGTTTTTGAAGATGTGCAAGTATCTGCTTATTTATTTAGAAAATCCATGTCAAAGTATTTTTTAAACTTTCTTTTTTGTGTCATGTTGGAAATGGGTAAGAGAGTGTTACTTGAGAAATTTTAAGAACTCTCTGGACAGATGTTTTTTGCTTTTTGATTTTCTATCCTAGGGAGCTTTCCAATGTGATTTTATTTAAATTCACAATCCATAATTCTACCAGGATAAAAACTATCTCTCTTGATTGAAGACATCCTGTTATTTTACTTTAATTTGTCTAAGTATAGACTGAGATTGGTAATTTATTTCTACATATCTGAATTCTTAAGTATACTATATCACATAGAACATCAAAAACATATATTAAACTCCCATGTTACCTTGTTTCTTAATAACATATTTTTCTTTGTTTAGTATGAAGTTTAGAACTACTTTACATATATGTGTATATATATATATATACACATGTGCATATGTTTATGTGTGTGTGATTAACATCTGATTTTTTATACATAAATAAAAATGTATAAACCTGTTGTGTACAATGTAATAATTTGATATGCCTATACATTGTAAAACTGATTATAATTATGCTAATGAAAATATCAATCACCTTGCATAGTTGCTATTTTCACATTTTGTAAGGAAAACACATAATGTCCATTATTTTAGCAAATTTTCTAAGTGTACCTGAAATCATTATTAACTATAAGTCACTCTG